TTATTTTTTCTATTTTTAGTAGAGACAGGGTCTTGCTCAGGCTGGTCTCGAACTCCTGACCTCAAATGATCCTCCTACCTCAGCCTCCCAGAGTGCTAGGATTACAGGCATGAGCCACTGTGCTCACCCTGGCTTTTTATTCTTATTGTTTAAATCTCTTTAAAAGGTGATGTAGGGTTTATAACATGTAGAAATAAAAAGTGTGACAGTAATAGCACAAAGGCTGGGAGGGAAGAAATGGAAGTGTGCTGCTGTAAAGTTCTTACACAGTAAGTGAAGTGATGTAGTATCACTTGAAGGTGGACTGTGGCAGGTTAGAGAGGTATGTTAAAATTCTAAAGCAACCACTAAAATAATATAAGAGAGTTTTGGCTAATAAGGAATTAAAATGGAATAAACACATTCAATTAACCCAAATACTCAATCCAAAAATAAAGTCAGAAAAAGAGAAAAAAGGGAGCAAAGAACAGATGTGATAAACAAGACAATCAGAAAAATGGTACATTAAGCTCAACCTTATCAATAATCACATTGAATATAGTCTAGATACCCAATTAAAAGCAAAGCCAACTATATGCTTCTATAAGAAACCTACTTTAAATATATAAAGATGCAAGGCAAAGTGAGAGGATAGAAAGATATCCACATGCTAACATTAATTAAAAGAAAGCTGGAGTAGCTATGTCAATATCAGACAAAGTGTATTTCAAAGCAAAGATCATAATAACCGGGACACAGAGGGACATTGCATATGATAAAGGTTCAGTTCATCCAGAGGACATAACAATCCTAAATGTTCATGCTCCTAACAGTGATGTTGAATGACCGTGTGAGTGATATCAGCGCCATTGACAAGTGAGGACCTGACCGAGTGAGACACTTTATAATCGAAGTAGAAGAGATTGAAAAAGACACAAACAGGCATTCAGAAGAGGAACATTTGACTGTTGAGTTGCTGGAGCTCTAGAGCATTTTTTCCCAAAAGACCCTTCTTAGGATAGCTCTATGCAACTCAACCTTGTGGTGAAGGGTATTTTATTGCATACAGCTCTATTGGAAAAATGATGCCAGCAAAACCAATACTTGATTAATAATGAAAAATGTGTTTATAGATAAACTCCATGTGTGCTTAGAGTGAGCTGTGGTTAAATAGCTTCCATGCTTGGCAGCACACAGGGTGAGTTTGATGGTGTATGTGAGTTACTCATCGAGCTCATAGTTATTTTATGCACTTGCAAATGCAGCCGCTCATCCTGTCCTTTCCTAGCTAAATTCCAGCCCGACCTTATCACATACCAAGTGGCTTTTGACCAAGTTGTTGAAGCACTGGGTGCTTCTGTTTCTTCTTTTCGGTGAGAGGAGTATGACAGTACTCTTCCCAAGCTGGAAATGAGTACTCAGCGAGAGATAGACATGAAAAGTGTCTGACCACTTGAAAGCTCTGTACAAATAGCAATTTTTATTTCTATTAAATAGTGAAGACTGTTGTGATGTCTCAAAACAAGTGCAATGCAGAGTATTTGGAAGAGACATGTGTTAAGACATCTTGGCACGGGAGATCCTATCTCCTATTTAATGTGTAGAGCCACGGGCATTTTCTGCCTTGTATCTTTCCTTCTGAGTCAGAATGGAAAGCATTGCCACAATATTTGCCAGGGAAATGTGTTGTGGAGCCTTTTGTGATCTGCTTATCTCCCAAGTTCATCGTAATTCTTACACAAGTACACTGTGTTTTAGATCTGAAGTAACATTTAACTTGAAGAAGGCTCTGCTTTTGTTTGTAATCACTTAGCCTCCTGACAGTTTGAAAGTCTTGCAGAGCAACCCAAACATATTATTTTTTCCAATTCTCTAAAAATTATTTAGGGAATGATACTTTGTAGTAAGATCCTAAATTCAAAGCATTTACAGTTTAGAGACAAAGTAGAAGGCAAGAAAAAAAGATGGATTGCAAAGAGAAAAGTGAAAATCTTTATCTGTCCTAGGTAATAGGAAGTTACAGGAAATAGGACTAAATGTCTAGATGAGCAATAGAGAGGATATTAGCATTATCAGTAGATTAAATATGTTTTATAACACAACAGGCACTATAGGTGAAAATAAAAGGGAGAAAGCAATGGTCTGTTGTCAGAATTTTGTATGGTTGGTCTCTTTTCATCTACCCAGTAGTCCTGTGCAGTAGATTATGTCATCTTCAGCTTTACAGATGAGGAAACAGGCTCCCAGCTGTTAAGTAACTCCCCTAAGTCCACTAGCCAGCAAGTGGTAGAGCTGGATTTGAACTCAAACAAATAGTAGCTGCACACTGTGTTATCTCCACACAATTATTTCTCAGTGAATTTTGAAAAATCAGTTGGAATTGGAATAGGGCATTATCCAGCCTAATGCAGAAAATAATTATTTTCTTGAGTAAATCTTTGAAGCAAAAGAAGGTAGCTTAGTGGGTGGGAATGACACAAAGAAATTATTTCTGAGGAAAGAAGAATCCGTGGCATTCCAAATACAGAAAAGTTTATACTTCTGGCAAATAAGTTTAAGTTTCTGTAGACCACTGGTTCTCAAACTTGAGTGTACAGCTCCAGAGTTTCTGGTGCCTGGGAATTTGCATCTCTGACAAGTCACCAGGTGATGCCAATTCTGCTGGTCTCCGGACCACCTTGGAGATCACTGGCATGGATAATTCAGGAAAGGTGGTGACATGGCCATTGTGTGTATGAGGAATCAGTCCGGGTAGCAGTATTCAAGGTATTAGGGAAAAGGGTGTATGGCAAAATCAGCATTTTTAACAAATGTGTGATAGTGAAGCTCATGTTTTAGAACTGCGCAAAATAAAGCACCGCTGCTAATAGAGGCTATACGTGGATGTAGGTGAGGAAGGATGTAAAATACAGGTTGAGCATCCCTAATGTAAAAATCCAGACTCCAAAGTGCTTCAGAATTCAGTGCTTTTTAATCACTGACATGACACCGCAAGGGGAAAGTTCTACCCCTGACCTCATGTGATGGGTTGCAGTCAAAACTTTGTTTCATGCACAAAATTATTTAAAATATTGTATAAAATTACCTTCAGCTTATGTGTATCAGGTGTCTATGAACCATAAATGACTTTCATGTTTCGACTTGGGTCCCACTCCCAAGATATCTCATTATGTATATGCAGGTATTCCAAAATAAAAATTAGGAAATCTAAAACACTTCTTCTGGTCCCAAGCTTCTCAGATAAGGGATATTCAATCTGTACTTGTAAGAACCTTAGAATGTAGGTTAGTGGCTATTTTCAGGTATTGCTAGCATCTGGAATGGTGCTGGGCATGTAACAGGTGTTCAATGATTATTTTTTGTATGAATGAATGGATAAATAAAAGAATGAATTAAGAATGTCATGTTCAAACAACACAGCGATTAATATATGTACTCACGGCCCGGCGTGGTGGCTCACGCCTGTAATCCTAGCTCTCTGGGAGGCTGAGGCGGG